AACTATTGCATTTACGCGTATCGTACGAAGAGGGAATGAAAGAAGAAGAGAGAGATAGGAAAGCAAAACATACCTAAGAGAGATAAGCGGACCAAAACTTCACATACATATAAATACATGCATTATCACGTACACTTGGATGCGACTGAACGATGATAATTAGAGCTTCGGGAGTAAATTAATCGTAAATTGTCGTGCGAAATTGTTAATAAATATAGATATTCAGAGACTCATTTTATTTTTTGGAGAATCGGACGATTGAGAGAAGAAAAGAAGTTTTGATAAAGTTACAAACGATTATTTATTTCTGCGATATTTTTCAAAATCGTTACTTTAATAATTTTTTTTATCAACGAAGTTCTTTGTCATAAATATATTACCAGTTTCACTTTCTTGAATCGAATAGGTTCTAAATCTAAGATAAGTAATTTAATTATTTGAATCAACAGACTTTTAATTAATTATCGTGACCTGTTAAAATAGACTATACTCAATTGACATGCATCGGAATTTCTAGATCAGCTGTTCACGAAATGCAACATTTAATGGCCAATAATTTACTTTTGGTTTGCAGGTAGAGACTGACCTCAAAGTAAAAGTATAGGACTCTCTTTGCCTAGATTTTTAAGAGCGCATCGCTTACTTTAGCTCTTATAACATATCTGTTCTATGTATTCACTCGAAAGAGCTTCTAGGTATAAAGAAAGAACTGCCAAAGCATTGAAAAGTGAACATTTTTATAAAAACGGTGCCAAAAATAATCTGATAATATTAAATAATACCAATTGATTGAATAAATCATAATAAATATCAATTTTATTATATATCTAATTATAAAAAAATGCTAGCCTGAAATGGGAAGAGTTTTGAAACGGCCTCTGATTGGTCAGCAGACTGAGACTAAATACAAGAAAAATCATAATTTGAGAAGAGATTGAAAAAAGCGACATTTGTAGTCGATATGGCAATTATCGAGCATTATTATTAATTAAAATGTGTATTCGCGTTACTACTTATTTAAAACAAATTTATATAAGGAATTAACATTCTGGTGGAGCGAAATAAAAATTCTATTATTATAGTGGATAAAAAATAGCGAGAAGTTCACTCGCGTTTTCACTAAAAAAACTTGCATCGACTTTTTGCTCTTGCATTCAAATGGCTGCGTGCTTATGCGACACTCTCAAATGTATTCTTATCTACATAACGCAATCATAACAATATTCTTGATTATGGATTCATGCGCTCTGCAGTCAACAACGAATTAGTTCGACATCTACCTCATGTATACGCACGTTTGAATTCAGATTCAAGTGGGTCCAAATAACTCTCACTCCGTTTGCTCTTTTTAAAATGTTACTTTTTTCTGCGAGGCTGAATTCAATTCATAAGATTATACTGTATCGATGACGTGTGCGACGTACATTGGCTGTAAATTTGATAAACTCCATTTCTAAACGTGTGATATATTTAACGATGTATTTCATGTAAAAATAAAATTAAAAAGTAGAGCGTATTTATCTTGTGCACACGAATGAGCATGTGTAAGAAGTTAATCCTTTTTCTTATACGATCCGATTAGATTTTTTGAAAGTTTAAAATTAAGCGTAAAACTCGGATATAAATATTAAGTTGTTTTAATATGTAATTTTGTACATTTTGTGACATTTTGCACCAAGTTATGTTCCCGTTATGTAATATATAAGCATATATTATCACAGGTTAAAGAGGAGTTTGGAAGTTCACCTAGACGAAAATTCTGTGTTGACTGATAAGTCTTATGCATATCATCAAATCGATTATTAAAAGAGTATTTACTCGATCGCCTCCATCAAAATTTCACTTATCAATTTTTTTAATGTAATAAAATTCTTTGCGATAATATATCGTCAAAAGTTCATTGCATGTAATTTATCAATAAAATCGCAACAGTTCCAAAAAATTATAAGAAAATACCTTCAGAATAAGGTATTGGAAAATAGCATATATTTTATAACGCTTGATATTTTTAGATTTATCATTTTGCATATTTCTTTTTTACTTTTTACCTATGATCTTGGTTTAAATTTTTCAAGTGACAGCGCATTAGAATGACCTCGAAAGTAACATTTTTTCTTTCGATAATAATAAAACTTAATTTTTAGAGGTATATTCCACTTGAAAAACGACGATGGCCAATTTCGTCATTAATTCATGCCTCTTTAAAAGAGAACGATAAATCAATGTACATGTAATCGTATACACATCCCATTAGTATAATAAATGAATCGGGTGATGCTCCATGTATATGAAAACGAAAATTTCACATGTGCATTACCGCATCACCAACGACGACGATGTTAAAGAGATAAAGCCAATTTATAATTGAATATTGTCGCTTTAATCTAGAGTATTGTATATGGTCGTCTGCTCAGATTACTTTACTTGAGTTTTTTTTATCGACTTATGGAACATAAGTTTTACATAGCTGTTTTTAGATACTAGCACGGAGAAATGGCAAAAATGCCAGATGATAGTAATAGTTTTTCCCCCTCTCTTTCTCTCTCTCTCTCTCTCTCTCTCTCTCTTTAGCAAACGCTCGAGCTTGACAAGGTTTGATTATTTTTAACTTCATTTCGTCAGCTTCTCATTTCTCCCATGTAAAATCCTCTTCTGGAAAATTAGTTCCGTACATCGAGATAATTCATAAATATTCATATGAAATTTTTTTGTTTTTGCTTTTTGACATAAAAAATTTTATTTTTGAACAAAACCATAGTGATTTCTATAATGCAAGACTGAAGTATAAAATATTTCAAAGACTATGTAAGATTGCTTTCTTAGAAAATTCGCAACCACCAGACGGCAAAGCCGTAGTTTAAATGACAAACCCAGTTTGTAAACTCTATTTTGAGAAATACATCTTGAAGAGAAATTGAAGAAATTTTCAAGCACTAGAACTGGAAAAAGTGTAAATTACAAAAAGTGGGTTTTAAGATGGTAAAAAGTACCGAAGCTGGAAAACAACACTTGTATCTAATAATTATCATCGACTTTTTATGAAAGAAGCATCAAGATTGTCTAATCTTGGAATCATGACGCACAAATAGCACGAGTTTATGTCATCGTAAGTAGCGTTCCTTGAATCAACGTGAGATAACACATCATTGAAATAGTTTTGTTACAAATCATCCAAAAAATCTGAGAACAAAGTACAATTGTTGGCTCTATCCGATGGCTGTGCGTACTTTTGCAAGAAAAAGAAAGAACAAAACAAGCTGTCAGGCTTTCGCCCTTTGAAGTTTGTTGTCCATTCTAGCATAAAAAGTTTTCTATAATATAGTTGCGATGTTTTTATAACCCATGATCATAGTTTCAAGTTGAATATTGTTTTTCACGCAAGGCGTGCCATAACCGCTGACAAACTTTCATGTGAATTTTCGATAAAAATGATATAAATAATAATTATAAAAATAAAGAAATTGCTATTTAGTAATCTATTTTTAGCATCATTTAAATGTACATTGTCATAAGTCCATTGAGTAAACGATGACTTCATTGTTGAATTCATAAAACGTGTAAACGATTTAGGACGAAAATTCGCATCAAAGATTTGTTTTATTTAATTAAATTAATTTTTCGAAATAAATCGCAACAGACAATTTATCAATTATGGATACAAAAAAATCGATAGATAAATACTCTCTGGATTAACATTGGTCAAACAAAATTATATTCAGATTCAAACTATCGATCCCCATCCAAATCCAAAGTAATCGAAATTTATAAATTTTTCAAATGATTAGGATAGTCAAATGTTTAATCGCATTTGGAATTTTTAAAAAGACACTTGCGGATGACACAAACATCTTAAATTTTTATACATATTTATGAAATAAAAAGCAAAAGCGACAAAAATGCAAAAGACTTTTATGCTTTATACGGCACTCAGGTTCAAACATTTGGTGTGTTGCAAAAAGTTCTCCGCCAATTGAAATGTACGCAGTTGCACTCGAAATGTAAATATTCGCCATTATAAGGGATAATCAGAGAAATTTTTCCAAGTGTCACATAAATTACAAAGAAAGCAGATTAACAGAGTCTATGGTCGAGCAGACATCGCGTGCGCCGCGATAAGGTGCAGCTCGATAAAAATAGTCCTCGCGGAAAGTGACGTAATGCGAACGCTCATGCATTTATTCGCATTTTCAGATAGGCTCACATCGGACGTCGCCCGTAAACACGTAAACGTAAGTAATATTAGCGTCCAAGTTGACGGTGTGAGTTGATTCAACGCGCAAATATAAACAAATAACCGGCTGATTGCTACCCGATGACATTTTACCACTGCTTGACAGAATCAATATTATTATAAACTAGTTCGGAGTGTGAACGAAACGCAGACACAATGAAAAAAACAAAGTTTATGCACATTTGATGCGTGACTCGGAGAGCTCGTAAAGTCGGAACTTTTTTAATCAACTCCCGAGGGCCAGCTCGTTTCACCGCGTTAATTATTATGAAGAGCCGTATGAATAAACAAATTAAAATTCGCACGCCGAGGCTCGAGCGAGTTCGGAAAAATTGTAAGCAACTGCTATGTGCAAACTATATACGAACGACGAACGCTCATCTATTCGAATGACACGAAATTCTAGCAGGAAAAAATCTTGATCTTGTCCCACATTGTAGAACATTCACTCCAACGCTCTCTGCTCGCTCGATGGATAATGCGAACAGATTCTCCTTCGCATTGTTATGATCCGTTAAGTATGCATTCACGGCATACTTGGGACGAAAGTGAAAATTATTCTGCGTAGGCTCGATTGCTTTGGCATCTTATTAACAAATCGATAAGAAAATGGATCGATCCATTTCTCGATGAAATTACGCACTTTAAGAAGTGAAACCTTAATCGCGCTGCTGGTCACACGTGCGCGACCTTGTCTTGCATTACGGACATAGATACGTAAGTAAGGGAGAAAAAGAGAAAGAGGGGGAAGGAGAAAAAAGAGTCTTACGCTGCGACATAATGTGCCGATAGTTCTGAATGGAGTGGCCGAAGTTGCTGGCACGACGACGATCCTCAGATGTGCGCCAAGTGAAGAGGAACCACTAATCGTGTTAGCCGAACGTTCAGCTAAGCCCAGCGTGAGCATAGCTCCTCGTCGATAGCAGGATGAGGCACCACCGGCTGCCATGTCATGTATAGGATTTATAAGCACGTATTCACACACTATACAAACTGACACTACTTTTGTAACAAAAAATATGATCGGAGATTCGCACGGCAAAGCTCCACGTGCCCAAAGAGCGAGACGCACACAGGTGAAAACTCACATAGACGCACTTAAATTTACAGCACAGGCACACTTATAGTTACGCACTTTTTTTCGCGCAGCAGAAGAACATGTTACGGCCATTTACTTCAATGAGAAGTATTAACGCCGATTACGGTAACGGTGCGTGCTATCGTTAACTAACAATCAGGATATTAAAGAGCGTGCTTGCTGCTGCTGACTCTGGTTGCGCGGAAGTCGGAGCGCGACTCACACATTGGCCTAGCAATGGCATTTTTGTTTATATTTTCTTTTCGTCTGCGGCTTTCGCTGGCTGATTGCCGACCGTCGCATGTATTATCCGAGATGATTTACATGTAATACGCGTGTAAACAATCGTACGATGCGGCTATATGAGCGTCTGCCGCAGTCTTTCACTCGTCGCGTATGCTCGTTTGGGCGCAATTGTCGAAAAACGAGGACGCGGATCGACTGTGCCTCTGCGGGCGCAACGATGACTGGCCCGCGTACTGCTGCTGCGATGCGGCAGAATAAGCCAGCCAACGCCGTTGGTTCGGCGCGCGACCCGGGAACTGCTTGCGGATGTGTGCAGTATATGTATGTATGCAAAACGACGACGACGACGACTTCGATGCAGAATTTGCCATGCGCGCGTAGACAGAACGGCCAAACAGCTGACGTGACCGCAACTATTACTGGGTGTGTGAAAGTACTGCTTGCAGACATGCTTGACGCTGCTGCCACAGTCGTACGTGCTACGACGCCCGCGCGAGTCTTCTACCAGTTATTATTTGCTCCCTCGCGGATAAGTGCACTGCTGCATTTTATCAGCCGATGGTCTCGTTATTCGCGCGCATAATCATGCGGTCAGCGACCAACGTGGAATCGTGTGGCCCGCATACCGACATTGACGCAGTCTGCTTCTCGTAGCGTCCTCTGTGAGCTTTCAAAATCAACTCTATAGTTATAATCCTTAATTTTAATTTTTACCCCATTTACATGATTCTTTAAAAAAATTTTTTCTTTCAAGTATATTTTTTTATTCGAAATTGTGAAACTTTTATTTTTTTTCAACTGTTAAGTAAATTGTTGATTTACCTAAAAAAATTTCTTATTCAAATTTCATGAATGATCATCAGTACAGGCAAAAAATTGATGAAATTGTATATGGGAAAGTACAATACTTTTTCTACATTTTAACTCATCAACATTTTAATGATAACTTTTCATATGTACTGTTATAAAAAAAAGTCTACCCTTCATTTTACAATTATTTTTAAAACAGAATATAGTATACATTTTGCGATTCATTCACATACATTGCATGATTTAATTTGTGCCCTAATTTATTTTCTTAAATCCATTTATTCTCTCTTTTTTTTGTTATTACTTTAATGTGGTCTGGTGAAATAATTTATTTTTTCAAATTGTACTAATGGCTTTAATTGATCTGCAAATATTTTAATATCTTCAGCTATGGCATTTTGTCCACTAGGTGCTAGTACACTTAATTCAACCAAATAACTCTGAGATATTGCTTCCATACCATCTGGTGTCTTTCCTTGCACCATTTTGAAGACTTTTGAAACTGTGATCTTCATTCTACCTTTTCTAAACATGTAACCACGCAGTATACATTCAAAATCTAATCTGCAGCCAAGTTCGGTTAAAAATTCAACAATGGTACTGCTACAGGCAATGTCTAAACTGCTGCGAACCATGGTTGGCTGTGACTTGTCGCCAATTTCTGGTTGTCCGATATATCTTAATTGCCAAGGAGCATCATGATAATCAAAAGCTCTTCTAACACGTAAGGATAGTCCTTGCTCAGGGGGTGGTCCTTTTCTAATACTAAAGCACATTTCATGATCATGGAATGATTCAGCTCCAGAATCAAGATTATCACAAAGTCCTCTAAGTCTATGAAGAAGCACTTGCACAGCAGTGTCCATAACTGATCCCTGAAGGAAGTATTCTTGATTGGGTATAATTTTTGATTTTAAAGCTGCTGTTAAGCTATCCATAGCTGTACCTATTGGTTCACCCATGTTGCTAAAAAAGAAGTAACAATAATTACTATAAAAACAACACAATTTGCCTTTACCAATTACCTCTGTTGCTATTAATTTTCACAGTAGTAACCCAACAAAATGTTTACTTTTTTTCATAGAATGGACAATGTATTTTTCTTCAAACATTCACAACTTCAAAATGCTAGTTGACACTTTCTCACCTAATTGTTAATTAAGAAAATTATTCGAAAGAAACAAACGCATTTGACTTTTAATCTGTTTTAGTTTTTGACAGATCGTCTGAATACGAAGTACTGATCTGATCATAAATAAACACTTGTCCGAATGCCGGCGTATATGATTTTTGGTTAGGGTTTTTAACGTGATACATGACCTCTTGTGGATTAAAGATGAACTTCAAATATCCTATTCGTTCAAAATAACCGATGGGTGTATTAATCAATAAAAGCAGTTTAATGCTAAGTAAATATTATAAATAAAAAGATGAATAAATCAAGTATATTTCTTATTTATTTTTCCTTATTAATAACAGTAAACTTTGTACATATTTTTCATTTAAAATTGATTTACAATGTGAATGATGTTATTTATTTAGAAAAATAATATAAATGTACAAATATCATTATTCTTAAATGCACTCAACTATTAAACAAATTATTACATATAATGGCATGGCATGTAGTTTTATGCAAACTGTAAACATAAATAATCACTTATTCAATTTTTCATACTGATACTAAACTTATAATTTAAAAATAAACTAAACATTATTTTTGAAAAATTCAACCGACTTTCAAATTAGCTGCATTAAAGTTTTTTGTTAATTAATATAATTTTCAAATTGTTTTATAATTCGCAATAGGCCTTAAATTGTTTTACGTTTTTAATACATGCATAAATTATGATTTCTTAAACTTTATTAGGAAAAAATTTTTGTTTTAATAAAGATTAAAAATGTAGACCAATGCATCTTCAATAAAATCACTAATTACGATTTTTGCTTACTCATTAAAATATCAAAAATAAAAATATTTTATTGAACTTAAATTAACAGAACTAAGAATATTTTATTCAACAAATGTCTACACATTATACATTGTATTTATGAACAAGTCATATTTCCGTGAAAAAAAGCAAAATAAGAAGATTCAATTGTAAAATCAAGTTTCAAAGTTCATGAAAATATTACATTGTAACACACAATTTAAGTACTTGATTTAGTAGTTCATCATTTAGTAGTATTTTTAGGTGTTATTTCACTCAACATTGCTAATTTCATTAGTTTTTTTGGCAATACTTAAAATAAATTTGTCTTATTGAACTGATATCATAAATTAGAAGAATTCATGACAAGTCATCACAAGTCATCGAATCCACAATCAATTCATAATTTTGCAACATTTTAGAAAGTAATTATTTATGATTTTAAAAACGCTGATAGAAAATTTTACAGTATAAAACATTACTTATAATTTTTTTTCAATAAAATTTTTCGTTTTACAAACCAGGATTATAACTTTTGATCTTGAATATAAAATCCTTTCTTGATTGTGTAATATTGTAGTTAACTTATTATCAATTGTTTAATGCCTCGAAAATGGCCTGATATGAGTTCTTATTGATTTTTTTACAACATTTTTGTGCTCATTTGTCTTAAAGCTATTATTTATAGTTTACATCAGTTCAGCGATCATGCGTAGGAAAAATCACATCTATGGATCAGTAAAAAAATATTTTTTTCAATGACTAGTAAATGTGATTGGAATTTTTAATATGAATCGCATAAATGATTACTTTTCATGGCTTTTTACTACGATGCACGTTTATTTCTGATAATCTTACTGTTATAAACATGGCATATTACTGTTTTTCATGATATCTTTTATATTCTTAACTTGGCTTGAAATATTTTGCTTCATAATAATTCGACGTTTGAACTGACATAGATAGAAATTACACGAAGAAATGAAACCACTTACATTTACAGATAAAATGTATGTTTTATGTAAAAGCCGTTAAATGAATACAATAATAAAAAATAATTTTTTGTTATATTTTTCTGGAGACAGTAATTTTAATATCAAATTGAAATAAACAATATTTCTTCAAGTCTTTAAACAATTCTTATGTATACTAAAAAAGTATTTAATATGTGTTAATATACAATTATCTAGCAAAGATGGCAAAATTAAAATTATACATAGTTTTTTAACGTGTTAATAAAAAATATAGAGATTGTATAAAAAGATATATTACAAAAGACTAACATTTGTTTTTTTTGACTCGAAAAAATAACCGATAGATTTAACCTATTTGTTAACTATAAATGTAATAAATTCACATAATTTTTACATGATTTACAAAGAGATGAATTTACAAATACACGCGCATATATATAATATATCAAATATTCATTACTCATTCAACAGTATTGTCAAAATGTACAAAGAGTGACCTTACTATATTCATACATTCATATTAAATTCGTTAAACTTTACATACAACAACAAATAAATAATATTTCTTGTTACTACTTAAATTATGCTTAGCAGAAATTGGAATTGACGTTATATATTTCTTAAAAAATCTTAAATTTTAATCGGCCAATCAATTTTTTTTATCTATATAACAAATTCTTATACAAAACTAATAAACAATTATATTGCAAAGTTTAAGCTCGATACATTTAATTTGTCAAAAACTTTTATCCAAAAGCAATCTTCAAGAGAATTAACATGGATATGCATAAAACAAACAAAACCTAACTTAAGCATTTAATATAGACAGCAAGTTATTTTTAAATTTAAGAATAACTCACAAAAAGTTTTTTAACTTGTCGATTCAGATTTTTACATAAATTTCATTATTAATCGTACTCATTAAAAAACTTCTAAAATATTTCCCAGACCAAACATAATTCAGGCACATACATGACACACTAAAATCATTCTTGTGTGCGTATAGGCGCTGCCTGTACAATAGCACAACATTACTTAATGACTAGCTTTTGATTTTTTTATTATAATATTTGTTGAGGCCTTATCCTTGAAAACAGGCACTGCCATGAAAATTTTTCTAGCAATGCGTCTCATTGCACTAAAAAGTTTATTCATTGTACAAACAGATTGAAATATATTACAAATTATTGTCCTGCATCATGAGGTCAGGCAGAGCTGAGACAACGGCGAGAAGAAACTCGTTGAACGTTGACTCGCTGGCGTTATTTCATTGGAGAAGCGTTTGCTAGGTCATCACGGTGTCGGTGAGATCTTCTTTCAACCACTGCGGTATTGTGCGCGAACCCAGACGTTTAAGAAGTTTCACGAGCGCTGTGTTGTGCGATAAGTAGTACCTCTGCAAATCGATACAATTTCAGTTAAAGTGGGATTCATCTTACATTGTACACAATGCATCTTCTCAACCAACCTGAAGGAATTTATAAGACCTATCCTCCATTGGTGGATATTGACGACCTTTACTCTTTCCGAGACACTTGGTACGATCCTCATTCGTTACCTGACAAAAAAAGCCTTTCTTTGGATCGTACCTCAAGTGCGTCGAGTAATTGAACGTCGGCGTTATTTTCAAAAACCTTTGAAGCTCGTGAAGCGTTTCCACGGGATTCTGGCGCAATTGCTCTCCGTCGATTATGTGTAACTGCTGAGCTGGATAATAGGATAGCCACCTTTCTAGATGTTGAGCGTATTTTCCTGGATTCAGACATCTGAAACGGTATTTCTCGATAAAATATACCTGTACTCTTCGTCATATATATTTCTAGCCCTTCGACCAGTTTTTTTTATTTCTTTCTCTTACCTATTTCTCAAGTCTCTCAGAGCTTTCGGGGCCGTGTCCGTTGCCGTGATGACCGAGTGAAACGAATAGTTTTTAGCGATCACGTCGCCGTGTACCTTCGTATGCTGATACCAGGAGTAGGCCCTTCGAGCCGGTGACAACAGTATCGTAATAAGTTTGGCTTTTGGAAGAAGGGCGTGAGCTCGGCGAGGAACCAATTCGCCGTCGAAGTAGGTCGCTGACTTTTCAAACAGGTAGCGCAAGCTCTCGTTTTTCGTTACAGGGAAAAAGCTCATGTACCAGTCGAGGCCTTTGTAATAATTTTTACCATTGAAAAATTGTATCTCTTCAAATGTATCGGGACTGGGGAGATTGCTGCTAATGGCTGGATGAAGAGACAGGAACGTGTACAGAGCTGTAGTACCAGTTTTTTGCGGTCCAATTACTAAAAATCTCGGCAGCTGATCGCAAGTTTTGTTTTTAGACCAAATTTTTTGATGTCGTTGATCGTCGCAAGGGTTCTTTGAATTTAATCAATTATTAAAATAGTTGAAAGTCCATACGGAACGTAATATTTAATTGTGAATCAACTTACACCCCAGACAGGATCGGTTTCTTCAGAATACATTTGAAAGTACCTCTCTCCAAGTTGAAGGGGTGGAGCACTGGAAAGACGAAGATTCGTCCAGCACTGAATAAATTTTATAACCGACTCAAATGTGTACAAAGCTAGACGATCATTGCCGTAATTTGACATGTGCGTCATGAAGATGTTTATCTGTAATTGAAATTAAATCATTTTGATGCTCTAATTCAATCAATTGCTTGACTAATACTTTTTAATGCCAAAAATTAAAAGTTAATTAATTTTAATTTGCATTTAAAAAATGTTACAAGCAAATATTTTCATTATTTAAAATTGTTTCATTAAAATTTGACACAGGACGTATAATGTATAATAAAATCACCAAAGGTATTCGCGGAATGGTAGTCGAATAATAAAAACAAGTATAGTAATAATAACAGTCAACACTCACAGGATTGTAAACGATTGTCTGAAAGAGCTCGCCCCCTTGTATGGACTCGTCGAGTTTGTCTCGGCCTCCAGGGTATCTCTCGATAAATATTGTGTGCGTAAATAGACCACACGTTTGCCGGGGAAGTACCTGTAAAAGCGCATATATATGCATTCAGACTTAGCTATAGCTTTTACTTTTTCATATACTCTGTGCACGTATGTGCACATATTCTGAAGTAAAAAGACCAAGTATTAATGTTTAATGCGCATAATGAATCTAGCAGTTCATACGAATGCATGCATATAGGTTCATCGAGAACTCAAAGGCTTTCGCTCTCTGAACTTTTGACATTGTGCGCTGTGGGTATTGAATTTGAAATAATGTACGTTTCAACGACCAGTTATGTGCTGTTGTTTCACATCAAAGAGCTAGGAGTGACCTAGATTTATTTACATTTTTACAATAGCATAAGAGACGAGTAAAGTTAAATAAAACAAAAAATTCTAGCTATTGTATCGCATTTGCAAATTTTTTTTTCGAGAAAAACAAACGCTCGTCCAATTTTGTCCATAGTATTAATTGTTTCAACTCTTGGCGAGCTAGGATGTAAAAAATGTTAAAAACTCGACTGGGCTATTAAAAAATTAGTTTGTAGAGAGCGTGATGTCTGGAGGCACCACACGGCCCTAGGAGGGCTAAACTTTTTTGAAGGGTAAAAATCAAAAGCCTTACTCACCATAATGCCACGATGCACAAAGCCTCGCCTGAGCCTAGCCGGCCTCAAATGCGGATACTCCTCCGTGCTGGTGACTTTGATATTCCAAACTCTTTTCCAGGCCTCGTACAAGCCCTCGTGGACTGGATAAACGCCCGAGTGATGAGGACTGACGCTGTAGCCACTCGTAGTTGGTATGCCGTGCTCCTTGGCGAATTGCTTGTTCAGCATCATATCCATTTGCAGATGCGTCACGTTCTCGTACAAATGAGGCTGCTGATGATTCCACATGTGTGAAAACCACGTGAACCTGCGAGGGGGAAGCAAAAACGCTCGCTTATATATCTCTATATATGAGCCGATCGATCGCCGAGCGCACACGTGTGCGTGCGCGTGTATACATGTAGCTGGGCGGAAGGCCAAACGAACCTGTCGACGTTCTCGAGTATCATGTCGTCGCCCAAGTTCTCCTCCGATGTGCCGTGGTGAAAGTACTTGCCGGAAAAGCCCAAATTAAATCTAAAACCCGGCACCAGTGCCTGGATGCGCTGCTGCGTCGCCAATAGGGCCAGCACGTCGTCCTTCTTCAGTCGCGTGCCCTTCTCTCCGACGAATATATCGTCGACGTCGACGAGGATCATGCGATTGAGGCTGAGGCTCAGCTGTCCATGCGACAGATAAGACAGCGAGTCGAGCAACAGGAGCTTGTGCAGCCAGAATTTCAGTCCCCCGCCGAAAAATACGCGCTGTATGCCGTCGTATCTGCCGTGGTCCTGAAACACGCGCAAAGTCAATCTAATACTTTATTGAAGCCCTTTAAAATAAGTAAACATGTTGATATTTCTCTCACGAAATCAATATTTTTCAGAATCCACCGTGCAATTGTAAATGCCCAGGATGTTTGCTTGACTAGCGATGCAAGCTGGTTTAAACCAAGTTTTAGTCACTATACTGGCTTATACGATTTCGTTTGCCAGAGCAAATAATCGCGATGATTTAATCTAAATTCGATTCGATCTAAATCAATTTCTGTGACTGCGGATTGGACTGAGACTCAAATTTAATCAAACATTCGATTTATATAACTATTAGCGGCACTTGATCATCGCTCGGCAAGCCCATTCGACTCTCTCTTTTCACTTGAGCGATATCAATACTAAAGAGACTAGCTAATGTCATCGAAGGGAGATGCATGGCCAAGCAATTAAAACACCTCGACGGCAATACGTATTATACGATGATTCAACTGGGGTTTTTGGCCGCAATGTAAATGATGTAGGTACCGCACATATTGGACAATTTTGGTAGAACGCATAGAAGTAAAAGTCCTGATGTTACATAGATATATATATACATACGTTAAGCATTAAACGTACATATTTGCATATTCTAAAGAAAAGATAAAGAAGAAAAAACAGTCAAAGTCAACACACAGTCAAGGCTATTGCCTCGATATGCTATACTTGTTTTGTAAAAGTTTTGCAACATTTTGAATTCGATCAAAGAATGTGTGGTAGTCACGCGATAATTTTTCGAATATATTTGTTTAAAGATTTGTTTTATTCTTCATAATGATAATAGATAGTAAAGTCTTCATAGTTATTTTTATAAACTCGTAAGCAAGCGTTTTATAATTTTCTTACTTACAAGTTCATTTGATTATATCACGGCATAGCACCCTCTCACACATGCTGGAACGCTAGGAATATCTTAAAATAATACGTGATCCCGTAGCACAAAATCTTTGATAATGGAATAATTCAATTTCGAATGTAAATCGCAAACCCCTCAGGAAAGTACATGTCTCATAGATCTTGAAACTATATGACATCGTGAGATTGTGAATAGCACATGAACCGGTATATGTTATATCTGCGTGCCAATCCCGTCGATATTGAACGGCTAATGTTAACTGCGATTATATTAAATAGCCTTTTTACCAAATATTCACATAATTGCATTTCAATTCATTTTCACTTTTGTTTTCGAATAAATAGGATACAGTTTAAAAGAGATGCAATGTTTTCGAAACAAATTTTCTTGATATATACTTTCATTTGATTCCTTCCACATGGTAATATATTTTTGAATTAAATTTTAAATTACACGTAATAAAATTTAGAAACAAAATCATCGTTGTTTTGTAATTATTAAATTATCGCAAATACGGAAACTATTATAAAAGTTCATCATAAGAAAAACGAAAAGTTCATTAATTTCGAAGTACTTGTTGTGATGAGTAGTAAGAATCAAGTTGTCGGCCGACGCTTAAATAAAATTGAAGAGCGGCATATAGTGTTTAATAAGCTACCTGATAATATCAAAAAGATGCGCAACACATTCTAAATCAACAACGGTAATGAATTTTCTTAGGAAAAAAATATATAGCTATAGAAAAAGCAATAAGTCACGGCAACGTCATTGTACAAAATAGGTCGCAAAGTAAAAACAAGCGATAATTCTTCATAAGGACGTGTGTAAAACCCGTTGTCATCCTATAATAATTATCCTGCCAGGCGCGAGCAAATTCCACGAAGCGAATCACACGAACGTGAGATATCCACGGGCTTTTCTCGTTAGCAGCTTACGTGTATACACGCGCTCACGTGCGCTTGCGTATATATATGATGCAACGTACATATAGGTAGTCCGACAAAAGCTCAACTGTGCTGTGGCGGCAACGAGCGGCGAAGGAGCTGGACGAAAAATTGTAATTGAATCTAGCGTGGCGCATGGGCGATTGTTATACTACGTGCGGTGTACTCGCGCAGCTCTTTTTGGCTCCTTTTCACCGGAACGTGTATATACACACGCTCGTGCCTAGCAGATATAATAAATTAACTGTCAAGAGAGCCGAGTCGTATATATAGGAAAAGCTCGAAACTCCGAGCATACGATACAGGCAATAAATGTGTCTAACGTAAGAAAGATTGAAAGGGAGAACGGTAAAAATAAGTTTTCGACGGCTAATTAAACGCAGCTGATGCATTGAAGCCGTGACGAGCCGATACTATCACGGTCGACGCTATCTAGCCCGACGTCAGCTTGATACGCTCTACTGTGAAAATTTCATTGACTGTCTTCTCCAACGAGATAGCAAAGGGGATATACATCGAACGGTGCTCTTTGCAAGTATCATTTTCGTGAGATAGTCACTCGAGCAAAATTCGATTCAACAGAAACGCTCATAAGAATTTCAAGATGTTATTTAATGTTGACAAAATAAATAGTAGCAGCAGTGAAGTTTATTACGATGCTCTGCACATATAAACTTCTTCGGGTTAGGGAAGCCAACGATTTCTTCCTAGTTTTCGACTTTCTTCGATTTTCCATACACTTGTAACTTGTTGGGATTTTATAATATCACGGGGCTACGTTGTATATTGAAAGGGTGACTAATAGTAGCATACCTACACGAACTTGTGAGTTGGCCAAAAAAAGTACATATAATAGTTTTTGGTTTATACATGTGTATGTGAGTGTGGCTCTGGCAAGATGCACGTACACACAACATTACAATATAGCCTGTCGATGTCACTTGGAAGCTATATCTATAGTTATAGAAGACTCGGGCTTGGCAAAGTTTCTTCTTTTTTTCCACGGGACTATGTATATGTACCCTCCAGTGACAAGTGACACAAACAATAGCGGAAGATTCTTTTTTCACGGACGGCGAGAGAAGATTTTCGTATTACAAGACGCTTTTATCGTACACCGAGTGTCAAGACGTGTCAGTGCGCATCAGTTTGCGCACATGTTACAGAAAATGAATTTTGTTTGTATGATTTCCTCCTACGCTCGATTCGTCGCAGTGAAGAAAATCAGGTAAAAGTCATTTAGATTTTAAAGCGAGGCTTATAATCGTGCGTTGAATTTTCCATTGAAACTTTCACTCCAGCGAGCTGCTATATTAGAATGAGCATTTGTCACGGCGAGGAATTTTCGATTAATATTCAGCAGCTATAACTCTGACACTGAATTTTCCACTTGCACGTAATGACAAGAGAAAATAAATTGTGCAGTTAAGCGACAATAGAGAGTAAGAAAGTTTGTTTTTCATATAGTTTTAAAGAGCTTAATGGTATTCAACTCGAGCTTGATCGCCCCTTCCTCCTTCTCCCAGCAGTTCTGTGACGACGAGATGAATAAATCCCAAGTTTCAATTCAACGTTATAAAGCAAAAAATGAAAGATACACTTGTAAACGGCATGCTACATAAGAAAGGCAAAAAATTCGAATATCGTCACGGTTGCAATCGACCCGAAATTCCGCCCTCACCGAACGGATGTAAATGTTCTTTTGCGCACAAAGGCAAAAAGAGCCGAACTAACGACTGCGTGTGGATTGTTTTGCCCCTCGTGTATCTGACCATTTTTCTTCCTCGTGCGGCTTATTCTTACATTTTCCTGCCAGTGCACACAGCAAACCATTTTCTCTTCCTGCTCTCCTACGTTCAATTATATTTGTCGGCTCGGCTTTTTTCCCCCTTTTCTGGCGAGCATTCGAGAGTCAAATAGTAATGACCATGTAGATGGAGATATAACACGGTTGTTTTTTTCGTAAAAAAGAAAAATTTACATACGCGAAAGAAACATTTGTTGTCAGAGTTAGAAAACTTTTTTCCGCGCGAAAAAGTTGAAAGTTTGTATGTTGCTTAAAACGGTACTTGAAAGAGTACTATCATTTGAAAGTTTCGTAGGTGAAAGTTTGCTTTTTTGACTTGCAGCTCTCGTGAAGTGCAGGAGAGAAATGTAACGGCTAAAGTTGACTGGACTAATCAACGCGAAACTTATATGTTTTACAAGTAAAACAAGCCTGTGGTGGAGATGTTTCAAACTTGTCAGGCTTGACTGACTCTATTCCCTGGATACATTTCCCTCGGCAAAATTCATCAAATGAATCATTTAATAAATCGAAAATTTAGCATTCCCTACAACGCGAAGTGATTTAAATTTTAAATTCGACATTGAAATACTCGCAATATTCATGCATAAATCACAAAGTGTATGTATTGTGAATTTTTAATTAACATGTAATCACAGAATACATTAGTTTATAGGAGTAGCCTTCCAATACGAAATTTCGAATTATCGATTTTGATTATAAAACGTAGATTGTATACATTAGCACGTATGTTAATTATTGTATTAACGAATTATTGGTTAATGCGATTTTCAATAAGCTCTAATTAATAATAAACTTGAACAAGTGGGAATAGAAAATAAATAGAGAGATTTTGTGATTGAAAAATGCATAAAAATAAGGTAAAATAGCCTTGTATTAAATTTTCAAGTTCAATGACCCAAATAATGAGGGTCAGTTTAGATAGTTACGCAAATGAATGTGAAAAAAAGAGTAAATCGTCAATAACCGCAATAAATAAAAAACAAAATTATTGTTGTTGGAGTAAGAATTCGAACACGGCCATTTTTTTTAAAAATCTATCTTTTAGGTAATAAAGTTTTTTTTATATAGAAGATCAGCACATTCTCCTCGAAAGAGAGGTTGATATAGTAAAGTTTTTACTGAAAACAACTTTTTTATTATTACACAGCGCAAATACAACATACAAATATAATTTAGAACAAATTAAAACAAGCACGGCAAATTTGTATACACTGATTATCAAAAGGGTTATAAACATTTTGGACGGCTTCAAATGAAATTTTTCGTTTCACAAACACGTTAGCTTATGCTAGAACAATAAAAAATATTCATACTTGCCCGCTAAAATTATATAAATTCAGTGCGTGATCACAATAATGTATAAGGACAGAATTAATAATGTATAAGGGCAGAATTTAAGACTTTTTTCGAATTTGCCGACTTCTTGTTGCGAGCGCACAAAAATTTTCAAGTTTAAACTACAGTTTATACAACAAATTGGAGAAAATAAAGATCGAAGCACGATGGCGTGTGTTCGAAATTAGCATTAGACAATTTAAGTAGTGACACAGTAGTCGAGTTAGTAACTCTCATGTTTTGTTCATTTTTACGCTTTGCCAATCGCCAGTAACTATTATGATTTTTGTAATTGGCTATTCACGAGGAGGATCAAAAGGCGAGAATAGGGCTTTTAATTACCTAAAGCTAATTGAACAAGCGAATAAAACGCATGCACAGGGTGAATACACCGTTTTCACGTGTTTTTCGACGAGTAGAAAATAATTAAAAAAGACTACCTTTCGTTATACATGTATATTTGGCGCAGTACGGAGGCGCGAGCGCGTGCTAACGAACCTTTAATTCGACTTTTCTAAGCCAGTAGAGCAAAAATTAATTCAATTACATATGGCGCGTAGCCGAGGGTTGCTCTCGCTATTAAAGATTCGTCAAATAATTGAATACGATCGTTATATGATTTTAATGGTCGCAGCTGGGCGATTTCGTGGTTGCTGGATACGGCACGCTTGTGGTGCTTTATTTTTCATTAAATTTTTGCCCCCTCCCAGTCAAATTGTAATGGATGACATTTTGATGCTACTACTGACCTGCATGACAGTGGCGAGAGGACTTCTGTTGTGCGAGTAATCGAGATTGTCCCGATGTGCCCAGGCTAATGGCTCGTATGTACTGTGATTAGCTTGAAATATGGTCCAGTCGTAACCGGGCAGTGGTCCCCAAGCCGTCTCTCCAGCCCTGGTCAGTCTCAAAATTGGCGAGGCCGCGTTTAGCTGAGCATCCTACGAACAGCGTCATGAACAGTTTTATTGTGAGCTTGTGCGTTGCTCGAAGCAACTGCAAAAGGGGACCAGCCGCGTCAGTAATAATAATATGACATGTATACCTTCAGCCGAAGATTAGTGTGTACGAACAAAGGGAAACCCTTGAGCTGAGCACCAACGAGACTCTCCTCAGCCGGGGGCGTGAAGCCGACGATGCCAACGGAATATTCACGGCAGTATTTGTCGAGAAGCTCACGATTCCACTTGTCCATCTGGAGGTATTTGTTCAGGTTCTCGAAGATCAACACGCCGTAGCGACCCTTGTCCAGATTCGTTAAGACTGGCAGCGACTTACCTGCCACTTCGACTTTGTACCTGCAACAAATAATTATTTCATGTCTTTATTGTTCATTCAAGAATAAATGAAATATGTTCCCCTTATTTCAGAAAAACGAACATAATTGGCCATTAAATACATACATATATAAATATAGACTAATGTTCTTGTCGTCAAGGGAGCAACGACGGCCTGCCCTTATTTCTCTTTAATAAGGCATTTGCAAAATAGTTATCTCAGAATGAAAATTCCATCAAAGCTCTCAAAGATTCTACTGGCAGTAAAACAGATTCTTTTTCTATTCTACGCTTTTTTTATCGTCCTGCGCGCATAAGAAATGCGCGCACCGATGCATTCGCTTGGATCTTTCCAGTGCCGACGTAAAATGAATTACGTTTTCCCCCTTAATGGGGCTTGCTACTACCTTCCTCTCTCTTTCTCTCTTTCTCTCTCTCAATCTCTTTGCGTAACTATTGCTATTGCTGGACGAAATAATTTTATTTTACTCGAATCGTAAAATCGTATCAAATACTTATTTTATAAGGAGAGAAATATCATGATAAAATATATCCTTAAAGTAATGGTAATCTTGGGACATTGTGTCTATACAGTCAAATTATACCTTAAATTGCATAAGATATTATCTTCATAGGCAGAATTTTTCCATTATTCACTGGTAAACTGAGCACAGAGTGCAGGCACTGTTAAAGTTCATTAATACCCTATTTCTATTATTTATCAACAACAATCAAACATAAGTGCAAAAATATAAGCTTTGTGTGAGCAAAAAAGTTTCGATTCGTTTCTAGTATGCAGCAAAAATCTTCGATGTTAAGAATACATGAACATAAATTATTTCATGCAGACTTCAGTAAATAATGAAACGTGAAAAGTAAATTTTGTCCGATTCTATAACGCATTCACCACTTTTACCGTCGATAATTATGCTAAAAATGTTGCTGACTACGAGGGAAAATTTGCCGCTCATCATAATATTTTTAGGCTTAGGCTGTAGTTCGTTGTTATTAAAACTCAACCGTATATTTTACAAGTCGTGCAAAAATTGCCTTTGTTTGATAGTAAAATTTGTGCTCATGTTAATATAAAAATTGAATACAATTTAGAGTAAAATTTATCTATTAATGAACTGAACTCTTCTGGAACGTCTTCCCAAGATTGCCATTGCTTTAATGGTATATTGTAGTACTATATTTCTCTCCTCGCACTAGACTTTTTCTCGAGGAAAATTTAATGCCAGGAAATAAGCTTCGTAAAATTAATCGAGTTTATAGAAAAACATATTTATAGAGCGTGCGCGACGAGGCGTACATATTTTATTCGAGTAAACCTAATGAAACTCACGACCTTTCCTCTTTTTTCTTTCGTTAGAACGTTTAACGAGTCTTGTTGCTGGTGCCAGCGCTGCTAGGCTATACAAGCAGGACGTTGCTCGGCAAATCAAACGATTTTGTGCGTAAAAGCTCTGGCTGCAGCGCGAATAGCAAAACGAAACTCTGCGAGAACCGCAATCATTGCTCGACGTTTGCGACGTTAATTAGCTTCGTGCAGTAACGAAGCTTTGCTTTTCATTTGCTGCCAGACTGATTCGTAATTCGCTCGGCCTGTGACAAACTGTACACAGATATGTATACCTGCGCTCTCTTAATTTGAAGAAAACTTTAATCATTTTCTCGGCTGCTTTGTGCGTCTCCGCTCAGAGGGACAGGTAATTTTCTCGAATCAATACACGAGTAAAATAAAATAAGGTACCGCATCTCTGCCTGCCGAACAAATCGATAAATTTGCAATATAAGCGAAGCTAAATACATAGACGAATGCGGTGCGCGCGAGGACACATATTTCCTGACCGAGCGATCGATCGTGTTTTGCGCGGATCAAGCACACTCGAGTGTGATATTTGTAGCTATTGTTCAAGCTGTCCACATGAAGCGTCAACGGACGAGCGGAAACAAAGTTTTCTCGCCCGCGCGACCGAGCGAGCCACTCAAGCCGTCCAAGCGTTCCACCTGGCAATTTTACTCATGCTGCACGTATTTATACATGGCGAGGCTTTATAAATAGCTGAATTTTCTTCTATTTGCGTGCGCTAGGCGTCTTTTTTTCCATGCATATTTTGTACACCGAGCGAACGCGAGAAAGGGAAAAATTTACTGGGACTAAAATCACAGCATCCACGCGATACGCTTGTTGATTTTCTTCTTCCAGAGTCGAGCTAGGCCACCTGTCCTTGTTTATGCGTCTCGTTTTTCTATTTTTTCCCCCAAAGTAAATTTCATATAACATGTAAATACCGAACGGTAAAAAATTTAATTTCAGGCTTGACTTGAAGTTTTTTCTCAGCATCGTAATAGGATTAAAACTCTAGTAAGGGGCCGCATGCGCATGCTTCCAGTCATTCACGCACGCATACACATGTGCATATGAGTTAAGAGTAAAAAGTTCGAATGGGCGTAAAAAGACAAACTTGTAAGCATTTATGCAGAATATAGTTTCAAAGTGTGAAAATTTGTCTTAACTTTGCACTGTTTTTTGTACGTGGCATCCGCTGGTGTACATATTCACGAAAAGAGGAGGAAGTTTTGCTTTATGATTGTTCTTTGTTACGTTTTCCCTTGTGCAGCATGGCACGAGCTAATGCAGTAAATAAAAATTATATGAAATTTATCAGTGATTAATTTTAATTTATGACATTTGAAAATTCTGCGTCGTTCACAATATTGCTTTGAAAAAGTACTACTTTATATAATTATACTCCACGACTCTGTTATAAAGCCGAAAGCAGTTTTAATCACAGTGAAAGGTAAACAATTTTTTAATTTAATTCCTTTTTATTCATTTCTTTCATACTACGAGTACTTTTGTTCAAATCGGCATAATCAATGTTGGATCTCTGCGTACTTTGGGCGTATAATATATGTGGAACGAACGCACGCTTTCATCATTGACTAAACGAATGGAATAAGTAAAAACACGGCTCAGCACGACCAAATTTACTCTTAACAGGAGAAATCTCGACTAAATTTAAGCTCTTATAAACTGCTACTACGTAATTATTCTTTAACAGCTAGCAAAAAAAGGAAAAATAATAAAAACTGGCACGTACGCGATAAAAATTCTTAGTCCCTTTCCTACCCTCTTTTTTGCTACTGCATTAAAAATACACGCTTATACACAATTCACAAACTCTGAATCCAGTGAAATTTTTTTACCGACGCAGTTGGAGAAAATAAAAGTTACAACACGGTCTTTGTATGCAGAGTAGCTAGACCAAAACGACGAGTATGGATCTGCTGGTATTTGATACGTGGGATCGTCGTGCAGCAGGTTTAATTTTTTTAATAGAAAAAATTTGCCTCGCCATTGAAGCAAAATACCGATCTACTCTGGAAAAGTTAAATTTATGATGTATAACTTTATTTGATGATCCCATGGCATCATCTAATTATAAATATTACGTTGAGTTTCAGTTGCCAACCCTGCATCATATATTGTGTTAAAATTAATAAAATCACAGGATAACTGTAACTGCGCGTAAGACATAAAAATGTAAATGTACTCTAAATTTAACGTTAGCTACCACCGAAAGTAATCCATATGAAATGTGAGCTCGAAAAAAATTCAATTACCTTCCCATCAAAAAAATCATCTCTTTTTTTAGAGCGACGAAATAAATATGTAAGATAACTCGATGCGCAGATATCGCATTTAGCGAACGACATCGTGAAGTATATGAACACACACACACGCACACATACGCACACACACAACTCGAATCGCATTAGTATTGCATAGGATTTTATTAACTCCAGTGGAGCTTTTTGAAACTTTTGCCATTTCGTTGATATTCTCTTGAGTGACGGCAGTGCTGCTTGTAGCAGTTTATGTGGTTAACTCAACTGTCGTCTGAAATAATAAGGCCCAATATGAATTTATAGCGGCTTGGTATGTTTGCATTTCTCAAAAGAGATTTTGAGATTACGTATATATTTTCTTCGGAGAATTTTATCAGTGTCAAGGGAAACTTGTGGAAATATTTGGATTTTCGCAATGCAAATTGCGTACAGCTGCACAAACGCTAAAGTAACTCTATATATTCGCCTGCAAAACTGAATTTGTGCATCGTCGGAGCGGTTCGGTGCACGGGTATTGATTTTCAAGAGATTTATTTATTCTTTTTGAATAATATTATTTGTACGATCTGATATAGCGAATCAGCACAGTATATACCAGTGATTTGTGCGAGTAAGGTTTTTAAAATGAAATTTTTCGATGGATTATTCAGTTTTTATGAGCCAAGTTGCAAAAGGCATGACATTTATTCATAAATGAATTTTTTAAATTAATTTTAATTATTTGCCTTAATTTGAGGTCGAGGAATAAGAATTGTACTCATCCATCCGCCCAAGTTGAAAATATTTTTAAGTTGCAGGGCACGTACATTTTGGATTGTTATCTCCATGTCTTTAGGACGCTGAGCTACTTTTATTACTTGAAAAAATATTTTTTAATTTTCTTCTGAAAAAATCTGAACTTGGTCGGATGGATATATTTTAATTAAAATTTTTTTAACAGAATATTGCTCCTTGATAATAAAGTGTACAAGTGGAAATCCTCTCATAAAATGTAGAATAGTATCTCAAAAGTATTTTTGAACTAGATAGATTTCAAACGGCGTCACAAATAAAACTTTGAGAAATTTTAGATGAATTGAAGAAATTAAAAATCGGGATAAATGAATTATTGATAGTTGAATTGCGAAATGAAAACTCAACCGTTTATCCATTAATTTCCGTGATTACCCATTATCGCGCAGAGCGTGAAATTAAATGATGTCACCTAAAGCTTCAAATTCAGCTAAGCAGATGATTTATTGCATAAGGAAAAATAAACTTGGCATTGTCTAGATAGAAGTGGAATCGTAATCATAAAAATGTCGTTAAAATTCAGCGCACACGACGACCTTTTATATCTACCTAATATCTCTCCATTTTTCTCCATTACGTTATCGATCCTATAC